TTTCCCAGTAATGATGATGCCTCCACGGTGAGCAAAACACCTGTGGAATATTAGTTTTGAGATCACCTTGCAGGTCGTGCAGGAGCAAAGAGAACTCAGCAGTGCCGGCTGCTGTGACAGCATTGGCATTCCCAGTTGGAAGGGGGATTTGAGCCCTAGTGATGCCAGCTACCCTCATGATCGACTACACTGAAGTGGTTGGGAACCTTAGTCTCTATGATAAGCTGTAATTTAGGTGACTAAAGAATTATTTTGTTGTGTTTTGTTTTATGGTCTCAGAGAAACCAGATGGATTAGAAATACTGAATATCAGAACTAGAAGTTCTAACCTTCCACAATCCACTCTTCCTTACCTCCCTCTCATTTTATAATAAGGAAGCTGAAGGAGAGAGTCATTAGGTGACTTGCCAAAGCCTAATAAAACCACCAGTGACAAGCCAGGAATAGAGGGCAGGGTCATGTTCTTATATTCTGTGCCTGTACCATATGACCTCTTAGTCTCCAGATTCGCCACCTCTTAAAATTGCTCTGCTGCTGTAATAACCTCTTCACTGCCCAGTTGGTTTTTGGCTTTGACCCTGGAAGGTTCTATAATCATGTGCCATGGTCTCACTCCTGCCCTTGCTATGGATATGTCTTCTAAGGCACATTATGGTAAAATAAAATTTATTAGGAACAAATTTATAACTAGGACTTCTACCTATCTGTTAGGCCTCACATGGTCCTGGTCAGTTAATGGACCTTCAGTTCTCAAAAACAATAACTGCTATTTTATTTTCATTTCAGAATCATTATAGAAAGTTGTAGTGAGGTTGCAGCATTCAATGAAGTCTATTTTAGTTAAAACCTACACTAAGAAAACAAAAAAAGTTATAACTAAAATAACATGTAGTTTAGCCTGCCAAAGTGATACATTTTACTTGTGTTTATAGTTTTATTCCTAATCCTGGCTTCTTTAAAAGTCACTTTCTTCTATGGTCTAACGCTACCATGAAGGCAGTCATCTTCTATTTACTTAGTAAATCATTACATAGAAAATGTAGGCCAGGTGGTGCCTTACACCTCTGTAATCTCAGCACTTTGGGAGCCTGAGGTGGGAGGGTTGCTTGAGTCCAGGAGTTTGAGGCCACCCTGGGCAACATAGCAAGTCCTTGTTTCTACAAAAGAAACATAAAAATTAGCCAGGAATGGTGGCATTCACTACAAAGTTCCAGCTACTCAGGAGGCTGAAGCAAAAGGGTCGTCTGAGCCCGGGAGGTAGAGACTGCAGTGAGCTGTGAGCGTGCCACTGCACTCCAGTCTGGACAACAGACTGAGACCCCCACCTCAAAAAAACAAATAAATCACTACATAGATAATATAAACAGGAATATCAATAATCAAGTATTTTGCTGATCACTGAAATATTCTAAAGATTGGGCTTCACTCCAGCAGTACTTTTGGCCTTAACTTGTTCCTAAAAGCCTCATTACAAAGTAAATGAAATAGATTTCAGTTGATAGATCAGGCAATGGAAAGTGGATTATATATTCCTGTAGAAATAATGAAATAATTACTCTACTAAGGACTCACCATCAAATAAGTCATAGCTGTGGTCAGTGACATAACTAAGCCCCAGTAAATATAAAATCATGTTTTATAATCTGTAAAATGGATATAAGCATATTGAATATGTTGATTATGCAGGTTTCCCCCAGAATACTATACATACAGCATCCAAAGGTATACCTACACCATCCAAAAAGCTTAAATTTACATGGTAATTTCTTTTTCTTTTCTTTTTTTTTTTTTTTTTTTTTTGAGTTGGAGTCT